CCCCAAAACCCCAAAACCCCAAAACCCCAAAACCCCGTATTATATAAGCCCTATTGGAAATTAAGTTTTATAATAAAAAATGGGTGATACAGTAGAATTCTTCCTCACAGATGAGCAAGTTGAAAAATTGGATATGGATGAGATTAATAAGTTATTAAATGCTTTTCCTAATAGAAGAGAGATGGATTTTTCAAACAATAAAAATATTGAAATTATTTCAATTTTAAAAAACAGAAAGGCAAAGATGAACCATTATATTTCTGAAGGCTGGTTTAATGCTGTAGTACCAGGAATAGGAATAATAGCTGCTGGATGTCTTTTATTTCCTATTGGGATGCCCTGCTATTTTTTTTGTGTAGGAGGAATGATAACATTATATACTATCAATGAGCTTTTAGTTCCAGAAGAATGTTCTCCTATAAAAAGATCATGAAAATGGTACTTCTCTATAAATTACAAAAAAAATACATTTGTGAAGCCAAGTAAAAAAACTATGGGATGAATTAAAAAAATATAAAAAAGTCTCGCCAAGACGACCCTATCGATGGAAAGACTGATTCTAATGAAAGAGCTAATTCTGAATTTAGTAGCCAAAAACCAGGAGACATAGTGTCTCCAGAGAAAATAGAGGACTTAGAAGCTCAAAAAGATTATATAATGAAAAAGCAGAGCCTGAAAATGGAGATCTAGAGGAAAATAAACTTCCTGCTGACGATCAGGAAAGTGTACAGGATGTTTGCAAGCTTTATGAAAAACAGATTAGTAATCTGAAAAAATCTCATAAAACCGAAATAGATTCTTTGAATAATGAATGGGAGCAAAAATTCATAGAACAAAAGAATAAAAATAAACAACTCGAAAATAATATATCAGAGTTGGAAAACACCATTAAAAATCTAAAAAATGATTTTGATATCAAATTAAAAGATATTAGAAAAAATATTAGAAAAGAAGTAGCATCAGAAATCTTTGCCGAACTTAGAGCCGCTGGAGTACTGAATCGTACAGAATCTTCTTCCTCTGATGAATAATCTCATAAGTCCCTACTCTTACTTTCCACCACAACTTTTGTCCATCTCCATTTTTTTAGTTATTTTTTTCATTCCATCTCAATTCATATTTCCCAAAAAGGGGTTTTGGGGTTTTGGGGTTTTGGGGTTTTGGGGTTTTGGGG